ATTGAAATCATTTCACTTTGAATTCCACACACTGTCATCTTAACTCAGTTTAATGACAGACAATGACTCCTTCACCCACACAGAGACTGTGGCCTGAATATAACTGGCTCTATCTAGGGCCAGTCTCTGCATGGGGTCTTCTTCAAAGAAATATCCTAAAAGCCATGAAGAATGGTGTAGACGGTTATTGCAGATCTCCTTTAATGGGCTGCCACAGGGATTTTTGTAATATGTCACACGGAAACCTTTCTAAAAATCCTCTTCCTCTCTCTCCATCATTTTCCCAGTCGTAGCAGCTACTTAAACAGCTTTTCCTGTCTTGCCCTGTACTCTCTTTACAACTCCACTGTTCCCACATTCGTTTGTTTCTGTTCTGTACAATACAGGCCCCCTGTGGGGTATCTATAATCCTCCTAAGTTCAGCCCTCTGGAAGTGCGTTTTCTAATGAGAATCTTCCCCCTTCAAATTCTTCCTTTCCACACCCTAAACCTAACTTTTTCTTGTAGTATAATCAGAATTCCTCTCAGGGGCCTCTGAGGGCATTGCCAGGCTCTCCTGTTTCATGTCCTTCAAAGTCCTTTCTAAAAGCCTAAGTGCTAGGAAATTTGGAAAAGGGGCACTTGTATTTAGATCTTATTTTTCTCTTCACCTAAACATGCGTGTTTGTGTCTCCTGAAACATGAGTAAGATGGTACTTTCACTTAATTCTTTTTCTTAAGGGAGCAATTGGCTGTTAAATTTCCTTTACTATACCAAGCAATGCAAACTAGAGCCATCCCAGACCCTCAAATTCTGGAATCCTTTAATCAACCAGTAAAATCCTAGAAGATTTCTAGTCACTGGAATTTTCCATGAACCAGTATTGTTACGCAGAAAGCAAATTTTGAGGTATAATACTTGATTTATCAGAGGGATTTCCTCATTGGGCTTTGGAAATCCCATTTGTCTCTGCCCGCCTAAATCTGCCCCTCTGAAGGCCAACTGCAAGGGCTTGTCAGCCTGCCTCATTGTCTGCCAAAAGATATCTGCCTCATTGTTCCCACCAAAAATGATTTGAGTATCATTTCTTGGCCTTCTTTCTTAAAAAGAGCCCCAATTAACTTATTTTTCTCAGCTCTGATTTGCTTTACCAGATTCATGAGACCCCTTTGGACTAGAGATTAAGTCTGATTATTTGGTTGCAGGTGCTTCTGATCCTCCAACCTTTTTGTACTTTTTCCTAGGGGATGTCTTATTTTTAACCTTTTGTGTGAGTTTAACTTATAACCAAAACATTTCTTTTCAACATTTGCATTCAGCTCAACTTCACCTGAAAATTTTTGTCCTCCAGGGTGGTGAGGCCGGCTGCCACTAGATGACAGGTTTGGTGGATCTTAGCCCACACACAGCACCTAATGCCCGGTGCAGTAGATCAGGAATCACAATCT